ACGCGTGTAGATTAACAAAGATTTTATACAATTAGAAAGACTGGTAATTTTAAATTTTAACAAGCAGTGTAACAGCTACGTGAGTGATACACACCTGATGATGGCCATTTAGGGCCGAAACATGTAGTGTGGAGGAGGAAAAAGAAGTAAAAACTACAATAAAATTTGTTGCACTTAAGACGGTATTTGTCCATATATGTTGAAGGGACGCTAACTGATAGTCACCAATTAATTGCTGATTCTTTAAATGACTACTTTCTGACTATAGTAGATAAAATTAACAGCAATAATGCTAAGATTGATCATTTTATAGAGTTTGATATCGATAAACATTGGAGTTATTTATCTCAGGCTTTTCCAACTCCTTTCCCTGAAATTAAACTTAAACCTACATCTGCTAAAGAAATCGAAAACATAATTAAGTCATTAAAACCCAAAAATTCTAACGGGTATGATGAAATTTCGGTCAATATTGTAAAAACTAGTGCACCTGCTGTTATTTCTCCTTTAACTTATATCTGTAACAAGCGTACTTTCAACGGGTGTTTTCCCCAATCCTTTGAAATACTCTGAAATAATACCATTATTTAAAAATGGTGATAAAACGAATATGATGAATTATAGACCTATATCGTTACTTACATCCTTTTCGAAAGTTATTGAAAAGGTTATATTTGTAAGATTGCTCCATCACATAAAGGATAACAATATATTATCCAACCACCAATATGGTTTCAGATGTGATTCATCCACAAAACTCGCTTCATATAATTTAATTAATGAAATATTAAAGGCCTTGAATAATAAAATACCAGTTGGAGGCATTTTTTGTGACCTAAATAAAGCGTTTGATTGTGTTAATCATGATGTTCTATTATCTAAATTGAAGTTTTATGGAATAGTGGGAAAAGCTAATGCGTTACTAGAATCCTACCTTCATGGTAGACATCACAAAGAGTTGTAACTAATAAGAAGTGCACTCACTCAAGTTGGGGTAAGATTGTCAATGGTGTTCTCCAGGGATCACTCTTAGGTCCCTTGTTGTTTTTGATATACATTAATGATCTGTCAAATATTATAAAGAGTAAATCAATACCTATTCTCTTCGTGGATGATACCAGTATTATTGTTAAGAACTCTAATCGTATTGAGTATGAAAAAGAACTAAATTTAATTTTCAAAAAAATATAAATGAATGGTTAAAGGCTAACTTACTGACATTGAATCTTGATAAAACGTATTTTATGCATTTCTCAAACAAGAATAGTATTACAATGGACATACCTATCATTTATAGTAACAGTCAAATTGCTACAACCCCTGATATTAGGTTCCTCGGTCTGATGACTGATAATACCCTATCATGGAAAGGACACATTGACTGGCTCATGTCCAAACTGGGTTCAGCTTTCTATGCAGTGAGGGCTATTAAACCCTATATGTCATTAGAATCAATGAGATTGATATATTTTTCATATTTTCATTCTATTATGACATATGGCCTGATTTTCTGGGGTAATTCACCCCTCTACATCCGTATCTTTAGACTACAGAAGAGGGTAATAAGAGTAATCACCAATTCTAGAAGTACAGATTCTTGTAGGGAGTTGTTTTAGAGATTAAAGATTCTGCCCCTTTACTCACAGTACATTTTTTCCAGTTTGTTATTTTTTGTCAAAAACAAAGATCTATTTTTATCTAATTCTGAGATTCATACAATCAACACAAGACATAGTAATAACCTCCATTATCCCTCATGTAACTTAACTGTCTTTCAAAAGGGAACATATTACTTTGGAATTAAAAATTCCACCTAATATAAAAGACCAAGCTCATGAGATTAAAAAAATTAGGTCTGCTGTTAAAAAATTCCTATTTTTAAATTAATTTTATTCATTGGACGAATATTTTAACTGTAACAACAATTAAAGTTTCGGATTTGTTATGGGTGGTAGTTGATAGCACTTTATTGTTATAAAATACACAGGAAAAAGGTACTATTACTGTTGTGATATAGGTGTATTATATATTAAGAAATTAGATTTTATATGACTATATTAAGAGTCTTGGTGGTCTCTTGATCATGTATGCAATTTTATATGTTATTTTGATATATGGAATGTATTGTTGTACAGTAGTCTTGTTGTATTGAGTATTTAAAATTTTGACAATGATGACTATCTGATTATGTATGTATATTCATGTTATATTGTACTGCCTCCATGGATTTTGTAGAACTGTAAATAAAGGAATGAATGAATGAATGAATGATGGTTTTTGTTCATGTTGTATACTGTTAATATTTTTAACTGGTATGACATTACACAATTGTGATGCAGTATGTGATGTTTACTCATGTTGACTATTTCTATAACCACTGATGCTTAACCATGTAAGGATTTATGGAATGCTGAATAAATGAATGAATGAAAAATCACCTGGCCATAAAATCCAGACATCTGGACTGGATCACCAGAGAAAATGGTTTTTCACTGAGTAGTCATGGAAGCCCCTCATTCATACCGTGAAAACTACACTTCACTTGACTTTCCTTTGCCCTTGACCCTTCTCAGGACCTACTGTGAGTTTTCAATTCCCCCTTCCTGTCCTGGAGCTGCTGTCCATTCAGGGTATAAGATTCAAATGGACCTCATCTCACCTTTCAGATACATAGCTTCGATTAACTAATTCTGTTCTTTGTGACTTGCCCTTCCTCCCTCACTTTTCTATATTACTAGCCACTTTCCGAATATTGCTCACTTCTCCCCGTTATCTTTCCCCGAAGGACAATACCAAAATCAATCTAGCTACACCCTCTAAAATTTTTGCGCCCGACCATTTCCTCACCGGCCAGTTTTCTTTATTATTATAAGGTTCTGTTTACTGACTATACCTTAAGTACGCTTTGGTGTGCTTCTGTTGAGAGTTTGTTATATCCATGTGAACAAAATATTAACCAGCAGATCACTAATATTAGCTGTGACGAAACTTAAAATGCTATGATTAAATACAGCCGTCAAACTTCCTTTCGGTTACTTCAAATTTGAATCTTCAATCTTATTGGATATGTCCACAAGCCGTTGGTCATCGAAAATACATACCAACGATTATAAAACAGTCGTTACGGCAGTCTACCAACATAAAACTTACTTCAGTGGAGCAAAAATGGCGGAACTATTCACATCCCGGCATCCATGATTTATACATTTGGAGAATGCGAACAGATTTCCTCTGACGACGGGTTCGACCTAATGGGTTAATAGTCAACGAGAGAAATGCAGACTTCTCAGCTGTCCCAACGTTCAATTCAGGGGTCCCCAAACCCAGAAGACCGTACTCAAACGCCATGGGCATCTCAAATCCAATACATTAAGACGCTCTCTGGTGCGGCTTACTACAGAGGCCACTATCCATTTCACACAATCCTTGATACATATATCCCGTTATATTGATTAAAATATTTGAACACAGAATTTCTGGGTATTCTAGAACATAGAAAAAACGACGTTTCGGAAAATGGATGTTTCCATCCTCAGGTGGGGTGAGACACCTCCTCTGCTGGGTCTCTTAGAAAGACCTAACCTAGTGTAAATGTCTTACCATGAACTGTTTTTGGTGCTTGAAATGAAAAGTTGCACATATGTACCTATTTGTTTTACTGCATCTGTTTGCATTCATTCATTCATTCATTCATTTATTTTTCGTTCCATGGATCCACAATACAAGTGAGATATAGGACATGTCCATACTGTGATTATTCTTAAAATTAATAGAGCAAGAGCTAAGTACATAAATAAAAAAGTATAAAATACAAAAATTGAAACAAAACAT